GCGGACCTGTTAACGCATCAAAACTGCCGAATAAAACAAAAAAAGTGCTTCATCCTCACCCTGTTCAGCCCTTGCACGATGCTCCTGTCCTCCACAGGACGCACGGCGGCTGCTCTGACACTGAGCAGAACCCCCATGGAAGCTGCTAACACCACCAGGATCTGCATGCTGTGACTTTGGAGAGAGCCGCTGGAACCAGCCAGAGATCCTGAGCAGGAGATGGAGCAGCGGGAGTGGAAGGAGTATCGGTAAGTAGCGCGGCTGGTGGTCACCAAGATTTGGAAGTCGGAGAGGTACTGCTTCGCCTCCGTGCCCCTCACTCTTTTTATACGGATGTCTGACGCGGAAGGTGGTGGGAGTATGACGGAGTGGGTATGTGTGCATGAGTTTGGGGGGTGGGGTGGGGGGGGGTGTAGGGAAGGGTCAAAGCAGAACAAATGGAAGGAGTGAACAGTTAACCTTCATGATCAGGTGGACACATTCATGTGGTCCATCTGCAGCAGCGGATACGTCATCAAACCTCCCCCCCTCCGCCCCACTCCCCCGCCCCCAAAAAAGAAAAAAAAATTAAAAGACTGCTTTACACAGCCATCCAAAGGTAAAAAAAAAAAAAAAAAAGCATTTTTCAAACATATAAATAACCAAGTGACCACGAGCTGACTTGTTGTCAATGACATGGCGCCCGTGTCGAACAGCTTGTGATGAGCTCGGTGACACCTTCAAATGACAATCGAGTGGTCTGACGCGGGACCCAAAAGGACGAGAAAATCTGGCCCGAGGAAACGTTTCAAAAGAACGACGGAGACAATTTTCTTCAGTGAGGAGACGGAGCTGACGTTTAACCTAACGCATCAATATAACGATCCAATTTTCATGGACTGCCATGAACAATGGCACTCTTACGGGTGCTGACTGTGCTTTGGAAAGAACTTCAGATGTCATAGTCTACTCGTCATATCCTCCTGACTACCAGGAAAAAAAATGTTGTCCAATCACATTTATTTTGACATTCCCCAATCTATGTGAAGTAATTGGACTCCTCCAAAAAATTTTTTGAAATCCCACTACATTTTTTAAACAGGCTCAAATACACTTAAAACAACTCAAACAACACTTTAACGTGTTCATAAGAGTCTTATAATTAAAATGCCAACAGCATTTCAAGACAAAATGTGGTCGATAAAAAGTATTACTTTTCCTCTTCCCATAAAAAGTGCTTGCACTGAGGGAAGCCATTTTCTTACTTTTTCTAACCCCTACAAATTTGGTATCATTGGAAAGCACTGAATGTCCTCTTTAGAGTAACAAAAGGAGTTAATGCGATTGGAGGCACTGGGTGGGAGATATTTAGGTTCACAAATGTCCTCTACAGAGGACAAATTTGAACTACTGGTAGTCAGGAGGATATTGCAACTTTTAGTGCAATCAGTTGCAATCAAGCACAGTTTCGTGGATTTTCATAGCAGTGTATCAGAAAACGTTTCCTATGTAGCAAGTTTACAACCAGGCTATCTTTGTGAGGCAGCCGTCCGCCTTGCCTAGTTTAAGCTGAGAGGAACGGAATAGTGTAGCGTGACCCTAGCCTGGCCACGAATGGAGAAAAAAAAATGGATACTGTCATTGGAATTGCCAATAGATGCCAGTAGACAGCGGCCAATGACTACTTTTGCCAAAATGAAAATCCTTCACAGCATAATTCCATGGCACCAAGTTGCCACTAGAGGGAGCACCAAAACAGCACATACTTGAGTTTTTCAAGGAAAAAAAAAAAAAGAAACACAAATATGCCTGGGCTCCAAAACTTCAACAGTAACATTACATCTTCGGCTGGTGATTCTTAACCACTATGCCGCAGCTGGGACAAATTTGCCACGGATTTGCCATACATTGACGCAAACGAATGTATCTTTGTACATCTACCCATGCCAGTGATGTATAGTGAAAGGCAGAACAATGAAATTCACTTCCACGAGACAGCAGAAAGGAACATCATGAACCTGCAACCTGCTTGGTTGCCATGGCGAGCATAGACAGGCTTAATTATAAGTGGGATCCCATCCAAATAACAGCTAAGTTACTGCATAGTTTTTTTTACAAAGCCGAACATAAACTCATAAACGCAACATTCGTATGATGTACTGATTATTATTCATAACTTTCCAGTAGGACGTAATAATGTTTTTCTTCCAAATGTTTGACGCAAATCCCTCACATCCTTAAATGCTGGCACATATGAATTATCCGCCACATATTAACGACTAATTGCTGTCTAAATTGGAATGAGATGCTTGTTTGTGGAAGTAAAATGTACTGCGGGATGTGGAGCTTGCACAACGTAAATGGCATCCCCCTCCCCACTCCCTCGCAGAAGACAGTTTCCTTGCAATTATTTTTCAGCTCTTACCAAGGGTTCATGATGATGGTGAAAAGTGATTTACAATTGCTAATATTCACAAGAGCTAATGTGTGAAACAGCACATTTCAGATGTGCTGTTGTGACGTGTGCAGACGAGGCCACTGGCAGAGATCAGAGCTTCCTTCCATTCCAGTCAATACCTTGTGGTTGGTGTGTAGAAATTGATTGGCCGTGCTCTCAGATGTGTTTTTGAAATATTTGGCTCACTCGCCACTTGATCTTTCGATAGCCTCGAGCCAATCGGGAGATTAAACGAGTTGAAAAAGCTACAAATGATAGTTGGATATTTGGAGAAAAAGGTCATGTGTTAAGGCGACTGGTTTGCACGTCCACCTCACAGTGCAGAGGTTATGGGTTCAAATCTGGCCCCGGTCTTCCTGTGTTGAGTTTGCATGTTCTCCCCGTGCCCGCGTGGGTTTTCTTCGGGTGCTCCATTTTCCTCCCACATTCCGAAAACATGCATGCTAGGCTGGAAACCGGTTCAGGGTGTCCCCCGCCTACTGGCCGAAGACAGCTGGATTAGGCTCCAGCATGCCCTCGAAACTTGTGAGGATAAGCGGCTCAGATAATGGATGGCTGGATGAAAGTCATGTTCTGTATATTCAATAATTGGCTGCATTAAAAAAGTAAAAAACATATTTTAAAAAATACTCCCCATGAATGACGCAATATATTCTCAAGGAAAAAAAGTTACATATTTTCCTGGGGGGAAAAACTTGAGGAAGAGGGTCAAATTGAGAAAAAAGTTGCATATTTGAGGAATTTAAAAAACATCTGATGACAAATGTATATATTCAAGAAAAAAAGCAACATTTTCTGAGAGGGAAAGTTGTACATTTGGCGGAGGGAAATCATATATGAGTAATAAACTTTAATGTTGCTTCTTAACTGTAAAGCACAGACATGAGAATAAGCAGCTCAGAATATGGATGGACATTCATTTGCTTTTATTTTTTATTTTACTGATCATCATCTCTGCTCATGCTCTTTTCGGAAGTTCTGTGCTATCCTCGACTTGTGTTACTTGTCTTGGTAATTTTGTCACAATTACGGAAGCGTAATGCTGCCACACCAGGAAAACAAAAAAAAAAACCCCGAAATTTATCACGTAAAACTGATGTAGAAACCTGAAAATTGTCATATAAAAACGTGAAAATTATCATGTAAAAAACGTGAAACGTATCGTGCAAAAACGTGAATACTGTAGTACATAATATAAGCAACAGAAGTTGGCCTCGCGGAGGACAACTTCTGTTGCAACTCGCATGAAATGGAACGTCATCAAATCGCTTAAATGAGCCACGTTATCCATTCTGTTTCAACGTGACACGTTTTGAAGTGATTAATAGGCTGTCACATTTTTACATGATAATTATAACGTTTTCGCATGATCAGGGTTTTTTCTTCTAGTGTGGCAGCAAATACGCTTCCGTCCTAAAGTTTCGTGTTTTTTTTCCAAGCGTGGCAGCAATACGCTTCCGTACTCCACAAGAGCTTTTTTGTTCATTTTATTTTGTTTTAAAATATTTTTTTCCTCTCACAATCTCAAAGGACCTCTTCCGAGCTTGGTTTTCGTAACTCTCTGTACACCTCAGATGACTGCTGTCATAGATAGAAATACAATGCAAACATGCAACTACGCCTTGAAAAACAACAAAAGAAAGCAACAACTTACAGCGCCGTCATTAACAAATGCATTTAGTCAGAAATTCATTTTTGTCATGAATGTTAAATGGAGGAATCCTATCCAACATGCCAAAACATGTTGAAACATGATTTGGAACATCAAACTAAAGGCTGCCATCTACTGTCCAGAACGTGAAAGTACAACCGAGAGCAGCAAACGCACCATGGAAATTTTAAGTTTTCATTTTCTCCTTGTGTTAACTTCAGACTTCAAGTCCCCTTCTACTCCAAGAATTAAAAAAAAAAGTGTTTATGTCTTCACTTGAAGCTGAACGCAGCAAGTTGGTGGTTTTATTACATAGCCACTGTGATGGTCCACGAAGGCAAAATTCATTCAAACTTCAACTATCAGAACATTCGTGGACCCTAAATATATGCAATGTTGGCCTAAGACGAATTCTGAGGTGTCTGTGTCTTTGTCAGTCCTGTGATTGACAGGTAATTCGTGGGAGGGAATGAACAAATGACGTTTAACATTAACCAAGCCACTAGTCGCTAAATATCCGGACTTCTTGATCGAAACAGGCACACATTTTATATCACAAAATCTTACGGAGAATGGATGGCACAAATATATATCCACACATGTGGTCCCGTTTGAGCACAAAGATATTATTTTGTTCAAGAAACGGCAGAGTGGATTTAGGTCTACAACTCAATTCTACTGTCTGCCAATCAAGAGATGACTGAACAAAGATGATCATTAACAATTTCATGCACCCAAGCGGATTGCTCATCGGCCGGGAATCGCTGATGGCTGTGAGACGCCCCGTTTCACAGACCGGTGAAAACGGAATGAGAGTATGCATCCAGAACTATTCAAGTGTTGTACATTTCAGTCACAACAGATGTTTTTTTTTAAACAGATTTATTACAATGAATGAGTTTTACTTTTTTAAAAATGTGTTTTTTCCTTAAAGATTCACAGCAACTGTTTTCCGATGTTAGCTAACAACCACACTGTTATATAACGGCATCCCACAGTACTGCACAAGCTTCTCACCTTTAGCCAAACCCCCAGTAATTGCATAATCACTTTTCAACAAATGTTGCAGCTTCCGTTCTAAATATGAAACGTATCATTCATAACAAAGCAGAGCATCAAGCAGTTGTTGGCTTTTTAAAGGGAGCGTTTTCTACCTGATCGTTAAAACGTACAGAACCAGATTCAACAAAGCACCCGCTCAAGGAGCGCTCCTTTCCGAATTCACGAGGAAGTGTTTGTGTTCTCAACAATATGCAGACGGCACGCGGCGACGCCGCGAGGAGCAAAGCACGTTTCCGCTGAAAAGTGCGGCGATACATTGCAGTTACATGCAATCATATGATGCCATTTGAACAGTACGGTCCATAAGCGTGAGGTCAGGGTTGGATGGCGTCATCATCGGTTGCTCATGAGACAAGCTCGGAATGAACGTGAATAACGAAACGCATGAGGAAATAAACACTGGTGTTGCTTAGGACTTGGAAGGTTGGAAAGAAACGGGAGGCAACGGCCCCCTCGCCCCACACACATCTTGAAATCTCGAGGAGGCTACACTTTCGAGGGGGGGAGCTGAAGGGTGCTGAGCAGGAGGAGGACGAGGAGCTGTATTTGTCCATCTGTGGACCGAGGAGCAGGTGGAGGACACACACGCTGCTCTGCTGTGGCCAATCAAGCTTCTTTGAGGACCTGCCGGCCATCATGGAAAGAAAAACGGGGGTTAGGGCAGTGTTCGATACCCGTTAGACAGCCGAGACATATTTCACTTGAAAGACCCTGAAAAGTAATGTCACTATTTGTTTCTAGATGCTTTCCAAGATAATCAATTAAACAAGATGTTTAAATGTTTATTTATATTTTCATATGACCGCCCATTAGTGAAGCACACTAACCTTTCTTGCAAACTCAGGAAGGACGAATGCCGCTTTGTGAATCTCCGTGTTATAATATTTCAGGTTCATGCTTTCCAGTTCTCCTTTTGACAGTTCTTTCACCGGCTTTTGGAAATGTGTTTCCTGAAATAATGACTCCAATCGGTCACAAGCAAACAGCAAGCATACGTGTATCTTTATCCATTTTATTTGGTGGGGAACGCTTACAGGGTTCTTACTGCAAAGCATGAATCCAATTTGGCCACTGGGATAAGTTGGGATGGTGCCGTAGGCGTAATCCACCACTGGGAATAAGGTTTTGCAGAAGGTTTGCATTTCCTTGATCAGGTCCAAATGCAGCCATTGACACTCTCCTGCGCACACGACAAGAACAGTCTGAAAAAATAAGAACCAGTGCTTGTGGCGCAGTTGAGTCAAATGTCACACGAAGGCTGAAACACGGAAAGGTCAACTTCGACTTGTAATTGTCTCGGCAGTTAGTGAAACACGACGGGAGTTGGGGCCCAATGACTGTATTTGGAGGAGTTAGGGGGGAAAAAAATACCGAAAAATATTTAGAACTGTACTTTATATTATTAGTAGTGTGAACTTAAAAAAAAAAAAAAAAAACACCCCCCCAAAAAAAACACCACCAAACTATGATCCAAAACAATGATATCATTTAAAATCCAGCATACATTACATATTAAAAAAAAAGAAAAAAAGTTGACAGATCATTTAATTTAGAAAAATGCGCAAATGAAAAATGATGCTTGGTTGGCACGAGCAGCATCCTGCTCGCCCTCTGGCTTCAGGCCCCCACCCCAAACCAGGGAATTCTTGAAACCAACCCGAATCAGTTTCACGTTCATGCTTTTATTGAAATTTGGTTAGGCATGACTATCATGACCACCCAAAAAGTCTTAAAAAATAAAAAAAAGCAAATAACCAAGCACACAAAGACAGACAGTCAGCCATTTTAGCTTTCAGGATCATTTCGGCCATTTTTAACAACAAACTTAAAATGAAACTTGAACCGAGTACATCGCAGACCTGTGTGGCGCAAAATTGCATGTTCTCCTCGTAGTGTGTGGGCGGAGCCTGGCAACGAGGGTCGGTGACCCATCATTAAACACAAATCTCAAATAACTCAACTGCATTTTGTAACGTGGGATGACGACTCCAGCCTTAAGGGTTTCCTGCGGCCCCCCCGCCCGCTGGCAGAAATGTGCTGCGGCAGTAACGCGTCGGCCCCTCGCTGCTCTCACATGTCCACGTGGCAACATGATCTGTTTGCGCATGTGAGCGTATGCAATGTACAGTATGTAGCATCACAGGAGCAGTTAGCGCACACTTCTGAGTGGATTCAGGCTAGATTATTTCGATCCCTTCAAATTCGGACGATTTTTGGCCGTCATAAATCACTGGGAGGAAAACTTAAAGGGAATATCTGTGCGAGAAGATAAATAAATCTGTCATTTCATTAACAGACACAGAAATTAATCCGGGTAACGTACAATAAATTGTCGCCAGGAAAGTGGCATTTAAATAAACAACCCTGAAAAGTTTGGCAAAAGTGACAAGAAAAGCAGATATCATTGGGTGTAAATGATGGCAGGTTGTTTATTATATCGGTGGGATTTTCCACTATTCACAAAACGTTAAAAGTGTTTTTGTGGTTGAATCGTGCATCGGGTCACGAAAGGACGCACGCCCACAATGTGGTGTACCACAGAAACATGAAAAAGAGGAAAATTAAGCAAGATGATTAGGCACAATGATGCCTGCGCAATCGCGGTTCTTCGGCACCCGCAGACTATTTGAGTTTCTTGATGTCATGTGACAATATAAATGAACTTGACACTGCTGTAAACGTAGCCTTCAAAGATACATCTCGCCAATAAAAAACAGTTCGATACGAATCTCAAAATATTTTTAAGTGGAATGATTCGATTTGCTGCATTTACTTTTTTTTTTTTTTAAACTCAAAACTGATTTTCCCGATTACACATCAGTTGGTTTTACGCCCCAAGAAGGAATGCAATAAAAAGTACCCTGGGAGCAGAGAATTCCGCCTTTTGTCAATGCCGTCTTCATCAGCTGATAGTAACTCTCCTTGAATAAACTCTCAGCGGGGCCTGGAACATGAGCACATTAAAAATCGGGCAAGTCAAGTCAGGCAAGTCAAGTCTTGTTGATGTGTATAACGCTGAATGACTAAAGAAGTCTAAAACGGCTGCACGGGCACACAGTTGACAAACATTAGCGACATCCCACTGATCTAACCTGCAATTAATGCAGGGTCCGGGGGGAAGGGGGGGGGGTGTATACTGTGGTACCTCTACTTACGAAATTACTGGTTCCGGAAGAAATTTCGTAACTAGAAAATGTTGTAAGTAGAGACACATTTCCCATGTAAATGCACTCATCTGTTCCAACCCCCCCCCCCCCAAATTCAGACACAATTGTTTTCTAAAGCATAAAAATGCTCCAAATGTTACAAATTCGATTATTGGGCAATAAATTTGAGTTGTTCATAATATAAAAAACAAAAGAATCGAGTAACGACTAAAATTGATGGTCATTTAACTTTTAACTGCGTCCACATCGTTTTTTTTGCCCTCTTTAGTCCATCTTCTCTCTCAGAAGTGGTTTTTGCCTGGTGTTTTGTAAAGAACGTCTGCTTTTGTCGGCTTTTAACAATCCTTTGAAAATGACCAAGGCAAACATCAGCCGAGTGGACAATGTGAGAGTTCATATAGTCAGATGAGGCACTGCAGGAAATGGATCCTGCCCCACAAACACATTATGAAGGGAGACATTGATGCACTTACCGACAGGGTCCGATGAGTCGGTAATGATGACGTCAAAGGCATTTTGGTTTTGCTTCATAAACTCAAAGCCGTCTCCAACGTGGAGGGTGAGCTTTGGACTGAAGAAACCTTTGGCCATGCCTGGGAGGAACTTCTTTGAGACATCAATGACGTCCTACGCACGCGACACAAACGTGGCAGTTGCAGTGAGCGTACACGACTCACAAAAAGTGGAGGATATTTGACTTTTCGGGTGAGGTTTCAATGAGCATTTCCCTGTTAGATCATCCTGTTCAAAGCTTTGCAAATGTGAGGGTAATGTTGAGCAAATATTTGGTGTTGACATTGTCTCATCATGTGAGCACCAGAATGGAGAGGAGTTTTTAAATAACCGCTTGGAATTGAACGAGGAAACATATTGATTTATTCCACGGTAAAAACGTTTGTGCAATTTGCTGCTCAGCTTCCTATTGGAGAACAGCAACGTGTGCAACAAGTACAAGTGACATGCAGTCAACAAGTTGAAAACATTTTCAAATAAGTTCACCTGTCAATGTTACTTTGCATTTTAGGTTCAACCTGAAACCACCTGAAAACCGGATATTCCTCTTTGTGAATTGCGTGTGTATGTGGTGAGTGGATTTGAGCAAATATTTGCTGAATGTTATTTGCCCTTACCTCATCAATCTCACAGAGAACCACCGACTCTACCTGTGGATTCTTCACCACTTCCCTCAGCACGCCACCATCACCACCGCCAATAATGAGAACCTTTAAACATGTGACACAGACTTTCTCTTAGTACTCAGTACAATGCTCAAGGATTGTCAAAGAACAATATGACATGAAATAGATGCAATTACTGTTCACATGCAAGTGCTACCTTTTTGGGGCAGGGGTGGCTGTACAGGGGAAGGTTGGCAATCATTTCCTGATATGCAAACTCATCCCTCTCCGTGCACTGGATCACTCCATCCAATACCAAGACGTTGCCGTACGTTTTACTGAAACGAGTATGTTACACAGCTAACAGGGTTGCAGGGGAAAAAGTGCCTCAGACCTTCACAAACTTGGTTAACTACACATAGTTATTTGTACCTTAAACTGTTACAAAATATATTTTGGAACGTACACACCCTGAAGTTGAATCTATCACAAAGTTTTTTAACACGTATGAGAATACCGATCACTGTTATTTTAGGAAAGTGCTGGTTTGTTGTTTTAGAATAGACAGCCCATTGGGAGTGCAGCACTCCAGGAGCTAGCAGCAGCGTTAGCAAAGTGCGGGAGCGGCAAAGAACGCACCTCTTGAACACCAACACGTCTTGAAATTTGGACTTCTTGTGATAGAGGACCTCGTCTACTTGGAGACTAGTGGCTTGACCGGGCCATAACGTGCACGTCTCCTTAAACCAGCCGTCCGTGATATTGTCCATGCCGGTGCCCCGCGCGCTCAGGTAAACGTGTTTATGAACGAGCCAACGTGACACGCGACAACGTTTTGACACTTTTGATATGACTGACAGCCATACTTGCTGCTTCGCCTCGGAACGAATAGCAGACGCCTGACGTCACGCCTCACAGTTGAGCGATCCAATGGGGTGCGACGAGACGAGGGTTCTTACCATAGTTTGCTTGACTTGTCACCCACCACCAGCACCTCCCCGAAGACCACGTGAGGCTATAGTACGGTGGGGGAGCCAGTGCGGCTGCGCGGTTTTGACCAGGGAGGGGTGAAACAATATTTGTTACTGTTTGACTCACAAATATATATCAATCAATCAAACTTTATTTATAGAGCACTTTTCATACATAAAAATGCAACTCAAAGTGCTGTACGGTTAAAGCTTTTCAAATTTACAACATAAAAAAGGACCCACCCCTTCTACTTCCCTCAACATACACAAATACTGTATATATATATATATATCCCCACAAGCAAACCGATGCTTGCGCACACGTTCACATGCACACAAACGCGCAGAACTTGCACACGTACTCGAATGATACTGATATTAAAAAAGACATGGCAAGACACAGAGAAATCACATATGGAAAAAAGATTTAAATAAGTATAGAAATCAAGTGATTTAAAAGCCAAGCTATAATGAGGCACACACAACAGCGTTCACCCAGGGAGGCGACTTTGCCCAGCGCATGTCATGAGGGCTGTGTTCAAATTCACAGGCTGGGTCCTTCCAATGCTGCATTTTCTGCCACATGACGTCACTTCCATCGCAACTTGATCATATGTGGTGTCCAAATTCAAATAAAGCCTGTCCAAATTCGCCACGGTTTATGTGGTCCACGGAGGCCACATGAGCAGCAGCCTTTGAAGGCGCCAAAGGACCCAGTCTTGCAAAATGTCTTTTGAGGATTTGGAAACCACACGTGGTCGAGTCACGCCAGAAGTGATGTCATGCCGCCAAAACAACACATCCTAAAACGCGGCCTTTGGAGGCCGTAGCCTGTGAATTTGGACACAGCCAATGGGTGACTCCTCGGGCTGAACTGGATTCAGCTTCTAAGTGTGCCAAAGATTGGGAAGGTCATGGCATGAGAAAAGGTCACAGCCAAACAACGACCTGGCTCAAGTCACTGACAGTGACTTGCGAAAGTGTTTGGCCTAAACAAGGAGACCACTGACGAGACATGCAGTTCATCACTCTGAATGAACTACAGGTACCCGTAGCTGAGGTGGGGGAATCTCCCCATAGGACAACTATTGGCCACACACAGCACCGTTTTGACATTTATGGAAGATTAACAAGATGAAAGCCATTTCTCAAAGAAATCCATCCCAAAAAAAAGTCCAGTTTGAAGTTTGCTATATGTCACCTGCGAGACATCCCAAACGTGGAAGAAGGTGTGTTAGCCAGTCAATATTTGGCTTGGTGGTCCTTCATCCACACCTTGATCGGCCGAGCTGTGTGGCGAGGAGCATCATCCTACTGGTAACACCAATCCTCCCAGTTTGGGAACATTAGTCACAACTTTTGAGTTCTCTCAGCAGTTTCTCAAAGTTACCGTAGTTGAAATATATTTTCATAACAAATTGACAACCAATCAGTTTTTAAGAACATCATCTTTAATTGTGCACTGCTGTTCACATAGATGGAAAAAAAAATAAAGGTTGCATCTTTGAAATAAAACAAGATAAAATCCCAGCGCTTGAAAATAAATACTGTCTCTATCTTTTGGGCCAGTTGTGGCGAAATCCTCTGTAAAGAATAAGATTAAAAAATACTTAAGTGATGAGGGGAAAATATATAATATTTACAAAATTACATTTGTTTACCTGTTTGAGGTTCCAGCTAGGTATGACATACTCCTATTTCCAGCCCCTGGATTACTCTTTTTCCCACCTGCTGTTTTCTGTAAGACGAGAAAAAAAAAATCCACTCAGGGCTAAGAAACAAGTACACAATTTTATTTACATTTGTATGAAACAAAACAAAACAAAAAAAAAAAAACCAATGTACCTTTTTCTTAGGGTCATAGGATTGTCTGTTTGGATCAAACTGTGACTTGTCCTTTGATTTCACATCTGTATTAAAAAAAACAAAAACGCAAGTATATATTGAATAGTACAAACTTGGCAGTAAAATTATTTTTCATATTTATATAAAGCAACATACCGGAAAATACTTTGAGGTCTGACTGGCTGTAGTCAAACGGCGTGAAGCTCTCTTGAGGAGGAGCTTTGGGCTTTTTTTTCTCTGCAGACTTCAGTTTCTTACTCGGCTTGGGAGTCGACTCTCCAGGCTCACTGGAGACCCTCTCGCGTTTCTTTCCATCTGCTTTTGCACATTCCTGATCAAATGGGAAAGCCAAGATCATCATCACTACACTTTGTATGAGAGTCAAAAGTACAGTGGAACCTCGACTTACTAACAGTCACATTTATGACCAATTTGAGTTATACGCACAAAGCTTTCGGAGAAAAAAATGATCTCTATTCATGTACTCTTTTCGATATATGAATGGTTGTGTAAGCGTCAACATAAATAAGGCATTGCTGTAAACTGAAAAGGGGGAAAGCCATTGCATATGTAGGCAGAAGTTCCACATCCTCATTCATCCAATCACACATGATGATACTATCCACCTTGTGTACGTCGTTTATTCAACTGTGACGTGTCTTTAAGTAACGAACGGTTCACGTCGTCCATGCATGTTGTCGCCAGGCGGACGTTCTATCCACGTTACCACGTTACCCAATCACAGACGCCACGGGCAGCCGCGCCCACTCCTAAAAAGTACTGCCTTCTCTAAATAGAGTGTGCTCACGGATGACGTGAGCGAGACAAAAAAAAAAAGACTAAAAGACGTGTAGCAAATTAATCCTTTCAACAACAATGTGACATCCCACTTTGATTATTTTAATTTGCTTTTCTACAGAAAAAAAGACAGGTTTCCCTAGATCGGTATGCCCAAATCAACCAATGAATTACAAAAGAAAAAGACTGAATGAAAATAAGTAAATCAGAAAGTCTCCATGTTATTGTGGAAGACTTTTTCTCTGTAGGGGGTGAAGAAGCCCTCCCCTTTTCCCTCTCTTTAAAGTTAATGAGCAATAAATATATTTTTAAGTGTTTTATTTCTTTTTAATTTTAGTTTTGGGGTTGAAACGGACTAATTGCATCTCAACGGGAAACATACTTCAATTTATGACCGTTTCGGGTTACAAAGGGACTCATGGAAGCAATTCAGTCTGTACTTAGTAAACCAACCGGGCTTCACAGTGTGCATAATATAATGGCCAAGTCCCCGCACCGATAACCAGACACACACCACAACACTGACTGTTCACACAGAGCCATTGAGAGCAGTTTTTTTTTCCAACCGCATCTCTTTTAGTGAATGTTTCTTCAGCAGGTAGAACATTTCCACTAATGTTAAACCAGAACATGTGCATGTGTGTTTGCGCACAAGTGATTGATGGCTCAGTGCTCATACACTAATGGAGAAACTGTTCATTGCACTGCAGACTGAAGGTGGACCAAAGGCCTTTCTAAAAGCATTTAGAAGGAGCCAATCAGAAAAGAAGAATTTTTGCAAAAATGAAGGAAAATTGGCTAATACCCTGCAGTACCCCCCGATGATCTCTTACGGCGCGCTAGTGTGCCGTTTGTGTCTTAGTCGAAAATTACCGCTCTACTAAAACCTTCAGTGTGTGTCTTTGCTCCCATCTGAGGGTTCTTCTCCAAGCACATCACGGCACAGGCACATAAATAGAAAAAAGTTCACCTTTGTGAGACATCAAATGTATCAGTGGCCACTTAAGTAAGCAATGTGTCAGGAAAATTGTGGGGAAGTTTACAAAGTGTTTCAAAAAGGGTCACCGAAAGTGCAAGGGTGTCCGTTTAGTGGAATTGAACAGATTAAAAAAAAAAAAAAGTGAAAAGTACTCACAGCGGCTTGCTGGCGCACGGTGGCCACATTCTGAAGAGACTCTTGGTAGCTTTCTTTAGCCTTCTGTCTTTCTTCTGATGAAAACAATAAAATGGCATTTGGATTAGAATGAGCGGTATTAAAGTGGAAGTATGGAAAATTGACTTTTTAATTACTTGTGCAGTGAAAACCAGTGTACACTTTGTTTCTGAATTCACCAATTTGGGTTTTCTGTGGAACCTAGCCATAGCTATTTGCTGAAAAACTTGCTGATTTGTTTCTGTGCTCTTCATGACTCTAGGTGCCACAAGATGGCAGAATAGCCCTGAAAGTAGGAACTGGTGTGCCGCAAATTGAGGAGAGGCGAAAGCAATTTTCACACTGCAGCTCCATTGAGATTTTTTTGTTGTTGCTTATATGTGACACATATTTGTTTTGTTCATGCAGTGTAAATAGCAAAATTCTGATTTTTCCAAATCTGATCTGGGACTCTTTTGAATGTGGATATAAATCGGATATGATTGCAATGCATCTGCAGTATAAACAACTCATCCGTACCACATTAGGCCTCTAGTGTCCGTCATCAGCAGCCCAATTTCCCCAAAATATTTCTACCACCTCCCGCATTGCTCCTCTGTCAACAGGAGCTGATACAAAGTCAAGATGAACCCCAACATGCCGGACCATATTTACTTCTGCAAACCCTGTTCCACGTGACTTTTTTTTGGGGGGGGGGGGGTGCACACCAACAATATGAACATCACCTAAACTCTTTGTATGTTAGGGAGGAGCCTGGGTTGTTTGTGGAAGTTACTGAGTCTTCGCTGCATGCTCATGTGTTTGCATACTTTTGGTGCATATTTCGAAAAAGAAAAAAAAAATGCACTACAGGTTATGCCCACATCTTATTTACATTTGTTTCTATAGTGGGCCAACCGTTCACACTTTATCTGCAATTCAAGACCTTTCATGCACCCATTGAACCATCATATTCCATGACGTTACCTGCTGCCTTCTTTGCTTGTTGTTTGGCTTCCTCCTTTCTTTTCTTTGCCGACTCCAACTCCCTCTGCTGCTGTTCCATACTCCGCAGTTTCCATTTTTTACTGATCTGAAAAATAAGAGTTTGCTTAGGTTTGTGTGTACATTTTTTATTTCATTTTTTTCAAAGTACAGCTGCCTGTAAGAGCTGTGTGCAGTACCTCAAATATCTTTGAAGAAGGGTCTAACTTTGCATTCTCATTGACATGCACACCACTGGAAGGCAAGTACTGAAATCACACAAGAACAACGAAATATCGTGCTTCGGTTTAGATCAGGGGTGCCCAAGTCTAGTCCTCTAGAGCCCCCAAAACTTGCCTGTTTTACGTTTCCCTCCGGCAACACACCTGATCCAACTGATCAGAAGCCTGCTGCTATCCATTGTGATCATTTGAATCGGGTGTGTTGCAGGAGGAAAGCATGTAAAACAGGCCCGGTAGGGGCTCTCGGGGACAGGACTCAAGTACCCCTGGTTCAGATGGTACAGAAATTGTTCTTTGGGGCTGGTGTATGGTCAACACTTACCATTCTGAAAGGGTTTTCAAATGATTCAATAATTCGCCGAGCTTTCACTTGAGCCATAGAAAGGGACTGTTGGATTTCTTTTGTTTCTGGCTCCTGCAAAAAAAGGCAAACATCTGTCAAGACAGCTGCCTTGGCTTCAAACATTTTGAGAAGAGCTAAAGGTTACCTCAAACAATGTAATTTTGGCAGGTGCCACAAGACCACGTGTTTTCTCAACATCGGCGGATTTATGGTCATCATCAGAGAAGAGCACTCCTTGTTTCACAGGCAGTTCTGAGGAGGGAAAAGAAATGACATGAATGGTTGGAGTCAGTGATTCTCAAGGTTTTGTCAGCAGGGCCCCCTTTCTTACTGCCTGAGTACACTTCAGTTATATTTAACTTTTACGTTCAATACATTTTGCTACTAAACTTTTGTTTTTCATCGTTTATTGCGGTACAATGTCTATCAATGTAAATTTGTACGTGCAATACAACTAAATTGAATCATTATGTACATTTTTTTTTTCATTTCCCTATAGCGCAGTGGTCAAGTGATTAGCGCATCGACCTCACAAGTGCAGAGGTACCAGGTTTGGTTCCAGCTCCGGCCTTCCTGTGTGGAGTTTGCATGTTCTCCCCGAGCCTGCGTGGGTTTTCCCCGGGTACTGCGGTTTCCTCCCACGAACCAAAAACATGCATTGGACACTGAACACTCGAAATCGTCCCAAAGTGCGATTGCGACCGCGAATGGTTGTTTGTCTTTGTTTGCAATGCAATTGGCTGGAAACCAGCTCGGGGTGTCCCCCGCCTGCTGCCCGATGACAGCTGGGATAGGCTCCAGCACGCCCCTGCGAGCCTTGTGAGGATAAGCGGATTACAAAATAGATGGATAGATGGATGGATCGATGGATGGACATAGCACAGTGTTTATGTTCAAAATGCATCATGTTACACAGGCGCTTGTTGTTTTCCACAGGAACGCTCGCATGTTCCCACACTCCCCCAAAAGTCATGTCAAAATAGTTGAAAACTCTAAATGTACCACGCACGGATGCGTGATTGACTTGCAACCAGTCAGATGGTACAGGCTCCAACAAACTCGTAATCCGAATGTGGATAAGCAGGATGGAAAGATATATATTTTTTAATTCATCTTTATATTCAAGTGTGATATTGACTCATCAGTATTTTATACCTATAAACGTGTCACTTTTCCTTAATCTCCCTTTTTTTTGCTGGTCTGCCTTTTCTGGTAATGACTTTTTTTCAGACCTCTTTTGGCTGATATGGCCTGAGGATGAGGAGGGCTTTTTATGGCCATCTGTTGCTTCGACATGTGCATCGCAGTCTGCTAATGCCTAATAAACATCAACATTTATACTGTTCAGCTCACCATCAGCAGAAATGTGAGGTTCAGTGCACTCAGGGGCCCTGGATGTATCGTGAGGACCAAACAACGTAACCTGTGGCTGAAAAAAAATGAACAACAAAATCGTCATGGTAAACATTCAGCGTTTACTGCAGGAAAATAGCTGTTTTGATTGACAGGATTCTCACCTTCTTTACTGGCGTGAGTCCTTTTCTTTTTTGCATTGCAATTTCAGCCTGTGTGCAGAAACTCAAAGTGGTGAAAAATAATTCAAAGAGGGCAATAGTGGAAGGGGGTTAGAGCGCTTCTCACCTTGAGGAGAGGCATTTCTCGAGCCTCTTGCACTAACAAATGTAGCTCATTGACCTGCTGCCGTACCAGCGGGGGGACGGGGTTACAGCAGGCAATGATGCCCTGAGGCTCTCTGAGTAGGAAAAATAACAAAACGCTAGCGCTGAGTTTATGAATAAAACACAAAAGTCAGGCACGAAGTGGTGAGACATGACTGAACAGATGGACGATTGTTCAAGCGGGAGACTGAGTCAACTTACTTGGGCAGCTCCTCAGATATCTTGATCATCATGTGGGTGGGCAAGACATATCTAAAAAAAAAACAAAACAAAAAAAAAAACAAACATCAACCGTGTTGAGAACAGTACACTGAGATTTTCGCTGAACACGTGGGCTGCGAAAACCTGTCTGAAGCAGTTGAGATCCCTTCCCAAACACCCTACCCGGTGCTTTCATCTTCCTGCCGAGCCAGCTTGTCCCTCCAGGCGTAGAGTAGTCTGAAGGCAGTGAGCTGTTGGGTGTTCAAAGACCTTTTCTGCTTCCTCTGCACCTCCAGATAGGATTCCTCTGTGAATATTGGCTTGGCATATTTCTGCGTGGGCGAAAGGAACACAGTGAGAATTAGGAGAAATATTAAGAGAGAGAAGACAAGGAGTAAAGAAGATAACATCGGGGTGGCATTTCAATCTCTTGGGAGCGACATGTCAAGAGTTGTACAAACTTTCAGCGAAACGTCTTTGCTCTTGTTCCAGACACTCTGCAGCAGACCAGTCTGGCCGTGGTTGAAGTCCAAGAGCTGCGCCTTCATACGGTCGTAGATGTAAAGGAGATAGTGGGTGTCACTGCGAGCATAGAGTGCCATCTCGTCTGGCAGGGGCCTACGGAGTCAAGTTCACGGTTTGAGCATACTGCAACTGCAACATCCACAGAATCAGATCCGACTGGAAAAATGGCATGCTACCGGATCCTCCAATCGGCAAGCTGATAGCGTTTATCTGAATTCACGCTGCAGTAGTGCTTGAGCAGGTGGTCGAGCGAATGTCGGGCCAGGTTTAACACTCGACTGGCCTGGTGCGTGTCGAACAAGTTGACCACATACAAGCCGAAGTCCCTCTGGAGCCACTCGATGTCCGAGTCTGCTCCGTGAAACACCTGAGGGCCACACAGAGAATGAAATCAATTGAAGATAGGGTTGCATTCAATCAAAACAAACATACACACACCTTTTACATCGTGATTCCTGGACACGACGCTCCGAGAAGAAAAGAAACTGTGAAATAACACGGTTTGCGCTTTGCCCTACCAATAGATCATTTTCAGGCTATTTTGGTCGTCAGAGACTATTGGGCTACTATGGCTGACATGTACGCCGCCATAAGACGGATGCAAGCATTGAAATGTAATAAAGTGGAACACAAAAAAAAAATACTGCGTAGCATCAGTTTAAAAAAAATGTTTGCCATATATGGAGAACTGAATCTCAAATAATGACAGAGGTAACCCTGAAATAGTGGTAGCCAGAAATCAACAATTATTATGATGTAATCTTGATGAATCTTCCCTCTTTGAAGAGTTACGCTGCCAACATAACACCATAAAAAAATAAAAATTAAAACATTAAAAAAAAAACAAAAATAATAATAATAATAATAATAATAAGCGAAGCAATTGCAATACTTTGACTATCAATGGGTTGGTGAAGGCCTCATTCAGGATGTACATCTCACTGCGGAGCGCCAAGGTGTCAATGATGAAGTCCTGCTCTCTGGTGGAGATCTGCATCAGACAGGTGACTCCCAGGAAGCTCCTGTATGAATGGTGCTGTCAAGGAGATCCGGATAAGTCAGTTGGCAAACTGGCAGCGATGCCAGACCTGGACGATGAGTGGCATCGATTTTGTGGGAAACTGGAATCGTATGTACCTCGAGGTCCACCGCGAATTCAGACACCTCGATGAGCTTCTCATTCAGAGCCGCCAGTTCCTCCAGTGTCTCAACGAAAGAGCAGTTTGTTTCTTCTATTGGTTTGTACATCTGCAAATGTAGGCAGCTGTAGTTGAGAAGACACTACAAGTATGATTTCATGGACACGCATATTTCCTCCATCCACACTAGTGGAATTTTAAACACGTGTTTATTAGGGCCGTAACAATATCCAAACATCATATTGTCACGATATTGTCACGATATTTAGTCAAGTCTTCCGTTTTTTTTTTGTTGTTGTTGTTTTTTTTTTAACATTTGCTTGTGGCCCAAAGTGCAGATTTTTTCATCGGAACATGGCCCAAAAGGCTTCGGGAGCCTACCTGAGGCTGCGTCTTGGACAGAAGGCTATCAGGCACTGTCAGGCGATCCAATTCAAACTGGTAAGGATGCACAAACCTATTAGGGAAAAAGTTTAAGAGACTCAGAAAAAAAAGCAAGATATTCCATGACAGGAAAGTCCTTACATGTCTTCGATGTGTTCTTGCGTTCGCTGCTGGTAAATCAAGTCAGCCAGTGCTGGCGGGACATCCAGATCTTCCGGCTTCTCTTTACGGATTTGTTTCGTGGTGAAATCTGTCCACAATAAAATAGAAGAATCAAGAGAACGAGTCAGAAATGTTAAGTCTGAAAGACTGGAACAGACGAAATGTCACCACACTTCAGCAGGTTGATCGGACCGCTTATGAGGGTGATGAAACATTTTTGTCCAAGTATCTCTCAAGGGATGACATCTATCATGTGAACAACATCTTACATGAAGGAAGTGGTTTGAGCGCGTTGGGCTTGATGAAAATCTTGGGAATAAACGGCGTATTGCTGTTGTCAATTTTTTCCTTGAATTTCAGCTGAGGCCTCGGGATATTCTTGGCTTGGAGCAGTCTGAACGTCTCGGAGCGACCTCCCGAGCCTGAACCCTGATCGATACAAGCATCGCTTTAGCTCAGATGAGCGGCATAAGACCGGTATCTGGACGACGAGCGGCGAATCAGCCAACCTTGCGATTCCAGCTGGAAACGACAATCTTGGGAGGCTGAAAGCCTGCGGGCATGACGGGCTGCTGGCTCCTGTTCACGCCATCGGCCTCATCCAGAAGATTCCCCTGGGAAAATGGATTTCATTTCTCCAGTTGATTTGTATCAAGCTTTTTAGAAATCAATCCGCGGCACCGAAAAATTGTAGCAAATACCACTTTCTCCAGGATAACGTCGTTGGAGTCCACGACCAAGTCAAACCGCTCCTCCAACCCGGTGAGTTTATCACGGTCTCTCATGCGAGAACGGCAGCTGTGATGCCGCATGATCTGACTCATGCTAAGGCAGAGAGAGATACATGTTAGGATTTAGACGCCTCTTCAAAGGTACTGAATTGGTTTTGACATCAATAAGAGAATATGAAGCAAGAAGTCAACAGTCCCATTTTAATTTCCGGCTACTTATATGTGGCTTAACTCATTTATTAGGTATGCAAAAGTATTGTAACAGATAGACTTAAATGGATTCAGGGGAATACGACTTAAAATCTTTGACTCGCAGTCACAGTACCAAGCCCGTGACCCATCGACATCCACAATTTTCATCATCATGCTTGTGGAGGCTCTCAGTCGTACAGGAAAGTTCCATCGTAGAAAGGGTTCTACGACTGACAGAACCCTTTCTACGATCATCATGCTTGATATTGTAAACTCACCAGAGCAAGAGCTGATCCCCTTGAACTTCACAGAATTCCTGGAAACCGGGGAAGCTGCGATAGAAATCAAATTCATCGCCAGCTTGAGGCAAGCTGCCAGATGCTTTGGTGGCCAACAACACTGAACTCAACCCATACTGCCAAGAGGAGACATAACAGACATTTTAAAAACCCATGATCAGAATAATATCACTTCAGAAACTCAAGGATGTTTTTGCATCAAGCTATAAAAGTAAGAGTGCGGCTACAACTCCAATGATGTAGCCAACGAAACTGTTTACCCTTGGCCAAATAACAGTCGATGACGATAAATGACAAGGGTTTCAAATCTGTTGTATATAAATAAAATGCATTGCAGCAATGGCTTAATATTTTTCTTGATATTTGGAGCACAAGTGATTTGGGAGGGGGCGGGGCTCCATAACAATCCTCGAACTTCTACCAAAACAGTACAGCAGTAGTAACTGCAACTGTTCCTATTCACCAGGGATTCTCAAGTGGTGAGTCTGGATGCAAAAGTGGGTTATTAAAAAAAAAAAAAGGCTTATTGTGTGCAATTGTGATTTTTCATCAAACTATTTTCATTTTTTTTCTCGATACAGTTGTCATGTTCATCCTCAGTTGTTGACAAGGCACCTTGAAAATGTAAGTATGTGTTGTGAGCTTAAAAAGAATATCTTTTTCAATGGACAATTTTGAATAACATATTTTCTTGATTACTTTATAATTCATTATTGTTAACTTCTTTAAAGAGTGGATCGCGACTTCGATGGATCGACGACAGCCGAAGTCTTAGTACTATTTCTGTTTTAAAATGTCTATGACTGAAATTGGACTGAACCAAAAAATGAGCTAACGGACATCCACGTTGCTACTATCGACTCGTACGTAACTCCTTGTTTCGCTAAAGGCACACACCACCACTTACTTTAACGAAAGCATCGACGTCTTGGTAACCAGGACAGAACTCTTTGCCCTCCCCTTCTGGGGCATCAGGCTTAGTGTCTTGTAAACCCCTATTTTTGGCGTCGTTTTTATTTAAAGAGTCCATCATATCGTGAAATATGTGTACATGTGAGGCACTCGCCAACCACTTCCGCGTATCCTTCTTTTACGCCGCTAATAAATCAAACCTAAATGTTGACTCAGCGCTCTCTAGCGATTTGGCATGTAGCGGCAACAAAACGCAACTGCAGTCTCTAATACAGTAATCGTGAATAAAAAGTATTAAACAAATCATTCATGAGTACGTAATGGTTCCATTTTAATTGGGTCGACTGACTTGGAGGACATTTTGGTGATTGGTCATGTTTTGCACTGCATCATCTTGAACTTTAGACGTATATTGACTGCACCAAGATCCTGGACTCGCAGGGAGGCAGTGTTGACATTTGCTGTCTGCTGTTATTCACTCATGTCGCTGAAATGGTGGGAGCACGCCTACACAGTTTTGAGAATCTGAAGTTCAAATCTCAGCTCCCGTGTGGACTTTTCATATTTTCTCTCGTGGTTGTAGGTACTTGAAAGTCTCCAAATAGTCTTTTGGTGGTGTGAATGAGGCAGTGTCCATTTAGGACGAGCTCAGCTTCGCTGCTGAGTTTTTTTTTTTTGTTTTGTTTTTTTGCAGCACAAGAGGTTTTCATAATACTACTACTACTACTAATCAGAATAATAATAACAATTTGTGTAATACCGTAATGTATAATATTTATGAATTGCAGTTAGGTTGAGCAAATAGTAGATTTTTTTTTCTGCAACACCATAGCTACAAATTACAACACACTGTAAAATCTATATTGCGCAAGCTTTTCCAAATCAAACAAACCATTTTCTAATCTGCTTATCCTCACAAGAGTCGCGGGCGTGCTGCGGCCTATCCCAGCCGTCTTCGGGCAGTAGGCGGGGGACACCCTGAACTGGTTGCCAACCAATTTCAGGGCACACATAGACTAACAAACATCCATGCTCACAATCGCACCACCGTGCCGCCCAAACAAACAAACAAAAAAAAGAAATGTCTAAAAAAACGGATGTGCTTCAAACATTTTTTTATATCAGCTGCAACAATACGTTGAAGAGAACATACTGCAATATCTGATTAAAATTTACTGTTGACTAAATTATATATTTAGCACATTTACATGCTATTCTATTGGGGTTTTGTGCAGCGTTGACTCTAAATTTGTCACTTGATAGTGATCCCCACTGAAGGCCCAGGTACCAAATGGACCACTCACCAGTGTGTGAACGTGACTGTTTGTGGTTATTGTCGGTGCTCGGCTGGTGACAGCCCAGCGTGCACTCCACCTCTTGCCCAAAGTCAGCTGTTGTAGGCTCCAGCTCAACTGCAACCAAGAATCAGGATAATCGACATGGAAAATGGATGGAAACGATTCACTGCCAGCATCTTCACTGATGAGAGGTGATACGCGGCGTGTGCCTTCTCAGCCCATCCCGCTCGAAGAGTGAATCAACACAAGTTGCAATTCAGCAATAGGCATCCGTAGAAAGTGGAGTATACTTAGTGTGCAGAAGTGACTTAACTATTTCCTGCTATCTGCACTGCAAAATAAAGTTTCAGTTGCCTGACGCGGCGATGCAGTGGTCAATACATGAAGGTGAAGAGCCATTGCAAAGTATTGACACTCCACCTCGTTATGGATGATCTGTGGTGTGTGGCGAGAAACCTCTCTTTTCCTTACTTTCTCGCCTCATTGATTTCTCTACAGGGTCCTCCACTCCTTATTATCTTAAAAGCATTTCTGCAACACTGCCTGGATCGATAATTCACAGCACCTTTTCATGTCATTCTGTTGTTTTAGTGCTAACGATGTGGACTCCAGCAATTCTAAACTTGAATGAAATTGTACACTTGCAAGTCTATGAGTTCAATGGGATGTACAATATTAGTGAAAATTGATTTTTTTTTTTTAATATCTTGTCTCCAAATAAGTTATGTCTGGACTTTGGATTCTCTGTCCATCTATCAAGTGTGAAATTAAACAACAAAGTCCAAATCTTTCGTTTTCTGCTCATGACTGAAAATCAGTCTACGAGCGAGCCGTTCTGCTCTTCTATTACGAAACAGTGGGAGTTCAACTGCCTTTAAAAATAAAATAAATAAATTAATTAATTAATAAAATAAAATAAAATCTACCCAATAGGTCCAGGGTAACAATTTGCAGCCACTTTGTTTTGGGTAAATGTGTGTCTTGGGTAAGGTGTAACTTCATTAAACAGCTATGAAATACTTTCATAAATTGAATAAAGTTTAGTTCACTGGTCTTTATTGATGAGGTGACAGACCGGCAACAGAAGATTGATAGGACAGCAGTTTACCATGCAGATGGATAGGTCACACAATGGAGCAGGGGTGCTCAAGTCCGGTCCCCCAGAGCCCTTATCCAGCATGTTTTCGATGTCTCTCTGTCTTTCAACATACCTGATTCAAATGGTCAGGATCATTATCAGGCTTCTCGGAGCTTGCTGATCAGGCTTGGCTCAGCATTTCCCGGGAGGGCAATCATGAACTGCAATCATGGCCGTTGACAACTACAGTTTTTGTCAATTGTCCAAATACATTTGTATTCCTGAAAATGGAGTTACCCTCCACAAAATAACCGTGATTATCAAATGTTGAATGCCATATTCTTTGTAAAAGGGGGTAATAGCCGAGAGCCTACGCTTCAATAATCAACAACTAGAAATCCATTGTGATGTGTACAAAGGCCAAATCATAAAAAAAAAAAAAACACAGCTAAAAGATTCTTCTTCTTTCTCCCTTTCATTCATAATGTTGATGACATTGTGTTTATTTTTAAATGGCATTTTCCCCACATGTTCAAAGAATGACATAATCCAGCCAACGTTAGATGCTTCAGTGCAGAAGCATAAGATTCCATGTCATGAATCCCCTTATGAGATCAATTTATAAATGAACAAAAGCATTCAGGTTAATGTGCTTTTTTTCCCCCCCAGCAATGAACGGGAGATTACGGCTACCATTTGATTAAAACATTTGCAAAAATGTCGTTTTATTTAGCATTTTATAGCTTCCGTATTCCCTCAAGGCACCACTTATATTTAACCTGCAGTAAAAGACAATGAAGCTGCCGATGCTGAAAATGACACATTATAATGTACAGTGCTGTGTAGCCTCTTGCACAGATCCAGTCAAAAATCTCGGTTGATTTTGTTTGTTTTTATTAACCGCCTCATTTAGAAAACACAAATGCACCAAACAATATTATACATGCACAGCTTCAGCATATCAAGATCAGCAAATGACTTTTCAATGTGAAAACGCTGCTGCCACGATCTCACAGAGATCACTCGCACGGCAAAATACATACGAGAGTGAACAGAAAGGCCAAGCGTTGTCATTTTGGGCCGCGCAACTTGTCATGTTGTCACACTGTAATCTGTTTGGCAGCTTTTTCGTCTCTGATCCAAAATGAAAAGCGTTGCCAGGCTGTCTGTGTTGGTATCAACTTAAGAAATGTTTCTGTCCGCTCATATATTTTCCACACATGAACATAATTTTGTCACCATGTCGTTCTTTCTTTCAAAGCAACACTTGACCTTTGTGCAGAATTTAAATTAAAAACAAAAATCCAAACAATCCAGGTCAGGAAAAACAAAATGTGAAAGAGCTTGGCAGCGCTCACACTTATTTCATTAAAACATCGCCACAGTACTGCTACTTTACAAAAACAAAGATGTCGCCATTGCTTCGCTGTACCCGAAACAAATGAGAAATTACTTTTTTCCCCCAACTATTCAGGATGTAATCCGAAAAAGTGAAAGATATGTTTCCCATGTAAACACTGGTAAAATTACATTCCTTAATGTAACAAATTTATACACAAAAGAACCGCATACAATGATGCAAAAACAACAAATGTTCATGTGGAACGAAGCATTTTATCCTCTAATGCAGCGGTCCCCAACCTTTTTTGCGCCTCGGACCGATTTAATGTCAGACAATATTTTCAGGGACGGGCTGGAGAAATACAACAAAATAATATGATATAACCTGCATGAAACTGCGTTATTTTCTAAATATAATACTAAACACCAATCATGACACGAGGAACGTCCTATCTGGCCGCAACACTCTCTCGTCGCTAACGTTTAAACGTGCCTTCCAAATAAGATACAGCGCAAATACAAAGTGCATGAAAAATACGGCTTACCATTGCCGCATATTATGCAGAGTGGGCTTGGTGCGTGGGAATCTCGCATTGAGATAAATTCGTATTTTAAGTTGGACTCGATACTGTCTATTAAATGTAGCCTTCTTTTTTTTTGAGCTTCTCTTCTGTCTCCTGGCTGGGCCTTTTCACCTTCCCAGAGACGTTTGTTTTTTTACTCATTTTGCCAACTCCTGGGTTTCATTTTAGCGGTAACCTATCACATGGCCGAGACATGCGTCAAGAGTGACATACTGTACACGGATGTAACATAGGATCCGGTAATTTTTCAAAATAAAACATCTTTCAGAGTCCGAAATAAATAACACCGAAGTAATGTAAGTTATTTATTCTTTCTGTGTGGCCTGGTACCAAATGACCCACAGACCGGGGGTTGGGGACCACTGCTCGAATGCAAACATCATGGCCTCTTTTGCACTCAAAGTTGTTTGAGAGAAACCTGCCATTCCAACTTGTGTTTGGATATGTTACTTCCCTCCAAGCCTCTTCAAATTTATGAAGCTGTTTCAATGTCTGCTCAGTAACGGCCTTTGTCAATTCTCCATTCATCAAGTCGGTATTCAAACAGAGCCACGTGGCACAAGTTGTCAGACATCTGATGACATCACCTATCTGGCCGCTAAAAGGACATTCAAAAGATTAAGTAGGTGAGGCTGGCTTGAATACAACGACGACAAATACCACACATAGTGTAAAGAAGCCAATCCAATACGCAACAACGGACAGATTCACAAAGTGAAAAACACAGCTGAGTATACATTTTGCCAAAAGAAGCCGGTGGCGAGATTGCAATGATCAGACTGGCATGTATTTTTTGTTTGGGTTTTTTTTCTTTTGGTTTGTTTTTGGCAGCTCTTGAAGCTTCTCCTGCTGACAGCAAACTGAGTCCCTGGGCAACGGCA